AGCTTATCGCAGCTTCAGTTGACAACACCGAAATTTTCCACCTACGCCCTGGAAATTATGCTTACTAGGGGATCTTATTTCTTGGCGTCGCGGCCACTAGGACGGCCCGGTATGTTGGAACGTCACGCCGATGGTATACCGAGCGCTCGGAAAATTCGTGGAGGTGTTGTTCATTGTCCAGCACTTTACCCCAATAGGAAAAGGTTCAATCGAACCTTATATCGAGTCGAATCAATATTAAATATGACAGACCAGCTCCCGCCTTTTGCGACTCCACGTTCCAATTGGTCGATACATGATCTCTAATTGTCTTCAGAGACGTTAAATTTGACAGGAGAGAAGTTGCGCATGCGTTCAATTGAGCGGCGCTTCTGAATTGGCAGATTCGGACGTCCCTATGTCTCGAGCCCCGACATGGTTAAGCGATTGTTCTCTCAACGAGCCCGCCGGGTACGAAACGTGGTTCGGCACAATCATGCCCGGACCTATCTATAGCGGATACATTGACTTGAGAGGCACGCAGGTGGGGCCCACCGTGCACGAAAGACGTATCTGGGGCGTGTTCATCGTCGTCGCGATTGGTAGGAGCGCTACCGTTTTTCTTCTTCGACAACCAGGTCCCAACAAACGCAGGGCTTTGTCGTCCTGTCCCCCTTGGCGGCATCAAGTGAATGGTTCACTATCATTTTTGAAAGACTCCATGTATTTTCTGAAGAAGAAAATAGAAACTTATTTAAAAAGTTTCTGTTTGTTTTTAAAAAGTATTTTAAGCACAAATTTTGTGCTTGGCTTTAAAAAGGTGTTTTTTTCTTGGCACTCCCGACTGAGGTAACATAGCATCGACTTTTATACGTGTACAGAAAGTATAGTACGGTTAAATTGGAGTAAAGGTAGGACACTAGCGCGTTTGCACTCGTCTGCGGACTTATAGCCGTGGGCCCGCCCCTCTCTTCGCTTGCTGCGCTGCGCTCGGGGGGGCGCCGCTGCGCGCCTGCCCCCACCCCGGTCTCTAAGTCCTCGACTCGGCAAGGCGCTGTGTCTGGGAATAGAAATTAATTCCGAGCGAGTGTTGCCAAGACCGTCTGGCTATGTCCAGTTTATGCATGTTGGGGAGTATAATTGTATAGTCGGTTAGCCAGTCGGGCAAAATACTCACTTCCTTTTTTCTTTTAAGAAAAGTTTGAGAGCTATGGAATCCAGTACTACAGTATTTTACACATGTACTTTTATTAGTTATTTTAGGATTCTAGTCAAACGAGCAATACATTTCGCGTCGAGTCGTACACTGTACAGAGTCTGTACTACAGACACTATAATAACATCTGTGTCGAGCGAACACAAGAATTCAATCTGATCGACGAGATTCGACTTTGATGCCGTTATCGAACTTGTTGTCTTCCGCTTTGGTAGCGTCCAATACAACGATGGAGAATTTCATACGTTAGTCGCGTTATGTTCCTACAATATTCGCCTCAAATTCCGGCCAACTTGCGAGCCAAACTTTGAAGGCGAAGCAGCGACAACGTTCTCGACAGCAACAGCTGCAACCCCCGACAATGACTTTGTTCCTGACTCCGGTGACCGCAACTTCGTTGTAAACACGACACCGCTTGCAGTCTCCGCTCATTTACCGTCGGAAGCATGGAGCCATTACATGTAATATACAGCGTGCACGAACTGTATTGCATTACATGAAGATGCGTTTGCCGACATGTACGGACGACCAGATCGGAGACCATCTCAAAGCGCTCCAAGTCGAACGAAGCTCATAATCACCATGATGGTGCTGTGAAATTAGTGACGGTCAATGGCCCCCCCCATCCTACGAGGCTATCCTTGCAGTCAAAAGCATTCGAAGCAATGTCCAGTTGTTGCACTCCTTGCGGCAGTCGCTTCCATGTCATCGCGTGTACATTCGGAGCGTGGAGGACTAATCCTGAGCCCTCTCCTGCAAAGGCAAAGGAAGGTTTCCAAGGCACTGGTCGTTTTCAGTTGGAACGTACCAAATTGATACTATCAATCGGGTGAGGCATTCGTGATGCCGGCATCCCGAAGCTACGGGACCCCGCGGCAGCAAAAGTCTCGTGAAGACTTCTCCGAGTCGATGGCGGTGAGCGGGGCTAGCTCCGCTTCTGTTGCAATGTTGAACGCCAGTTACAGCTACGAGAGCGGAGAGAGTAGCGCTGCGTATGAGCACAACAGCCAACGCAGCGAAGAACCGTCGTGGGACGGCTACGGAAACCACCCAAGCTCAGTGCGTCGAAGACCCCCGGCTGTGGAATCCATGATGGAGTCGGCTCGACTGAGTGATAAGCGGTTGCACGAAGTGGCTGCTGCAGCAGTTTCCAGCGTCAACTGGGGCGAACTCGACATGGAATTGGCGGCAGCGAGTCTCAGTGAAAAGCACGAAAGCGTCTGGAAGCGAAAGAAATCTCCGCGAGGCTATGCGAACAGCGACGCTATGAAGCTTTTCACTCGTCTCACAGTTCGTGATCGTCGACATCAAACGCGTTGGGGTCCAAAGGGGTTCGCTGTTCTAGCTGAGGGAACATTGCCCTGTACTGTACAGGAAATGCGTCTTGTGTTTCGTGTTGCTTCCACCGACATGTTCCGTGATATGATGCGCTGTATTTACCGTCGAGAATTTGTCGAGGGCGAGCAGTTGCGCACGATAAGGATCCAGCGAAGTGCTGGCAATCCTGCGAGAGCATTCGAGAACAGAGAGTTGTCCGTCAAGACTGCGACTTTCGAGAGCGGGGGCCTGTTCTCCAAGAACGAGTCGTGGTGTTTCTTGGAGTTGCTGCACCCTCGAGACCGAGCAAAAGAAGAGCAGTCAACAAGAAGGACAGCTTCATCCACTGCGAGTGCTATCAGTGCCACGCCTCCGCCATCTTTCACACGAACGCTCGTGTCTATCGCACGTTCCAGCGTCGTGTTGGACAACGCCCTAGCACCACCGCCACGTTCAACACCGCATGTACCAAATGTCGTCATCAATTACTCGTTCGAGGAAGATCCCAGCGGTCGAGCCACACGCGTGGTTTTCCACGGCGAGTACTTGCCCCCTGACGCTCTCGACGCATTTAAACGCGCAGGCCACGAACGACGTCTAGCACGTCTCTGGTTGCTTCGTCTGGCAGCCAGTTGCCACCGATTCCTCTTGGTTGTACGACGTCGTCGTCTTGGAATGCAAGTCATCATTAACAGCACGCGTCTTCCACTCGAGACTGTCGCTAATGTTCCTCGTTGCGCTTGTTGTCGTCGCTCGTTCTCCACATTCTTCAAGCGTACACGGAAACGCTTGTGCTGTCTGTGCGGATT